TTTCCTGACAGTCATTGACGACGTCGTACAACTTACAATGAAAGGCCTCTGTGTACACACCTGGAGGCACAAGGCACCATCATAATCCTTCGACCCATAACAGACTTGTGATCGAAAACAACGTTGGAAAGGTCTCACAATTAGGCAGTTGGGGTACTACGAAACACCCCTGCTAGAATGGATTAGTATGTTGATAGCTTGCAAGCTGGATCTTGCATGGTGGAGGGTCAATAAGGACTTCCCAACATCACCTTTCTTCTTGTCAAGACAATGAAGTACACTAACGAACAGCCGAACAGCATGCTGCTATTGTGCTTCCTTGCCTCCAGCTTGGCCTCAAGCTCAGGCAAGCGTGCTCTTAGTCTTTCAGCCTCAGAGTCAAGTTCATCAAGGATAAGAAACACACAAATACTAATTTTGTGCGTAGTTTCCAGCCATGGCTTCCCTTGAAGTTTGGATGGAGTGCTCTACATGTCTCATCCCAATCGAGTGGCCTCTGCTGGGTCGGCATGTCCAATTGGCTCCTGATGGGCACCCCACATGGAAAGTGCATTTGACCCATGCGTCCGGACACGATTGGCCCTTTTGATCCGTGAGCCTTCTCATCAACAGAGTCGACCTTCAGTCTTGCTTCTCTGAGCAGTGCCTGACTTTTTCCACACGTGATGAAGCCGTTCTTTTGCAAATCTTCAGTATGCACTGCGTGCACCTCTAGCTCGTGAATCTTCTCTTGCTTTTCAGTCACCTCGTCCTGGATAATGGCGACCTTCAAAAAGGGCGGAGTGGCCAAGGTCACAGCGAAGCGCAAGCGAATCCTTTCTCCACACCTGAATTGCTTTCTCCTCGTTTGCATCCGCGAGCATCTGACGCAAGTGCTGGATTTCGGTCAGCAAGTCCTGGTAGGGCGTGAAAGTGGCAAAAGAACGTCCCAAACGAGTCTTAGTCCCTTTGCAGCACCCTGCTAGATAGAGAAGTGAATTCCCCACACAAATTGAAGAACTCCCTTTCACTGCCAGGTCAGGTGTTTTGAAGAAAGGTATATACTGTACTTCAGCACAGAAGCTGGCAAAGAGTAATGGATGCGATGCTATAGCCCCCAGCTTCCTGGCTGCCAGACTGAAACGCAGGTCCAGTTGAAGACAACTGGCCTCAACGTGTCTGCTACTATCCGCTCCCATGAAGAATTGCAGCATGCCTCTTTGGCGTTTGTAAATACATGTATGTGTTTCTGCGGAAGCATAGACAAATTATATATGTATAGTCGGAGACAGAGTGAGATATATAGTATGTATATATATATATATGTAATATATGTATATATATATATATGTGCATAAATATATATATAGATAGATATAGATATAGATATAGATACATTGCAGGGTTTCATCAGGTCTAGACCTGCTCATGAAGGCTCTGGCTGTGCAAGTCCGTTTGTCATTCGTTCTGAGCTAGCAGCTCACGGTGTCTTGAAAGCCCAAATCACCTCCATCACAGTGGCAGATTTCATGCGTGGAGTGTGCCCCTGCGACCCATGTGTTACATGTGCAATCAGAAATCCTAGCATGTTCCTGCTTCAAAAGCCCCCATTCGGGCTTCCGCAGCACAAGGAGTTGATGAATTTCATCTCTCAGCATGTTTTCCGACCAGCTGGGACAAAGGGTTCGTCACGGAAAACCTTGTACACAACATGACACAACCCAAACAAGTGGCTTCATGGCCAGGTCTACGGGAAACCCCAGTGTCACCCTGACCCTAGGTTGGAAAACAACGCACGTGTGGACTCGTGGACCTCAAAGTAGAATAAAATCACACTCCTGAGTCACCTGAGCAACTTCAAAACCTTTAACATGCCGTGTAATCTACCCCCTGAAATTTTGTCTGCGCAGGGTTTAAGACCTTCCATCCATGCCCAAACAAGATCTAAGAACAGACCATCGTGCAAACGAGCTTTATCCTTCAGCGCTTCAAACGCAAAAAATAGATTTTGCCCAGCATATTGCTTTACATATTTAACAATGTATACCATCGTTATTCGACCCAAGCTGAGACACCTCTCTCCGCTCATCCTGCCTCGTCCAGGCGTGTAGAGCTCAGCCCTGGCCTCCAGCGCTGGTGCGCGAGTGCTTGAGGAGCTCCCCGTGGCCTCCGCCAAAAAGCTCGATCAGGAATCAAGATTCCACAACATCCCACATTCATGCTGTTCAACATTGTTCAAGGATGTTTCAAGTTTGTCAACCGTTGCAGTAGCCGCCCTGCAAAATGTTCTCCGTGAAGGAAGTTGCAAAACAATTGGTCTTGCCAACTGCAAGGTTGATTCCCGATCATGGAAGAGGGCAACGGCAGGCTGCTTTTCTTGTGGTAGCTTTTTGAATCTCCCCTTCTAACGAAGAACACAGGCCTCGCCGCCTGGAAGCTCCTGCTGATCATCCAAACACCCAACGAAACTTTACAACAAATTCAAGAAAATGTTGTTGTCGTGGTTGTTGTGGTTGTGTTCGTCGTCGCGGTTGTTGTGGTGGCGCGGTCTCACTGTTCACCACTGCACTGCTGAAAGTTGCGAAGCTGGAAGTTTCAGGGTGGCTGCTACAGTTGCAGAACCTGCCTTTGTACACTCGCATGCCAAAGCATCATAAGTGAGTGCAACACGTTTCTCCCTTGTGCATCAAGTGCATCTGCACTCCCAAATCCACAGGCCAGCTTGGAGCGAGGGTTGGGGGGGACCATGACCCCTCCTGGAGTGAAGACTCTCCATTGGCATCACATGCCCACTAGTGATTTCACAGACATTCGTGGTTCCAAGCATCACAACTTGCGATCACCAGAACCACTCTTCTCGCAAGCAGTAGTTGCTCGCTCGCCCCATCCCCCCCGATTGATGGAACCGCTCGACGACCGTCAGTACCGCAAGCTCTCAGTTGACATCCCAGGTCTACGAGGATGCGATCCACGCCATGGCGTGCCAGGAAAGCAGAACTGCCTTCTCCCAGCTCAGACACCGGGAGTATTCATTGGGGACAAGAGAAACAAGGCACCGCAGGAACCCTCAAACCTGATTCGATTCTTCGCACTCCAAGCCCGGGGACTTGGTGCCAACCGAGCCGATGCAGAGCGGCTGGACGCCCTGGCAGATTGCGGATGCTCTCTGACGACCACTGGACGCTGCTAGTGAACCTGACATAGTGCAATCCTGTTTGCACTGCCACGTCACCTCCCTCACTTTTGAGCATTTGTGGTCATGAATCCATGGTGAATGCTTCCACAGAGTCCGTCGCCACTGCGCAACTGATGGCTGCGTTACCCTCTGGGCACGTGTGAAAGAAAAAGGATGTTGTTGTTGTTGTTGTTGTTGTTGTTGTTGCCGTTGCTGTTGCTGTTGCTGTGATATGATGGTGGTGGTGGTGGTGGCGGCGGCGGCGGTGGTAGGTGGTGGCGGTGTAGGTGGTGGCGGTGTTGGTGGTGGCGGTGGTGGTGGTGGCGGTGGTGGTGGTGTTGCGGTGGTCATGGTTGAGAAGTAACAAACTTGTCTCAACACTATTGGGGGTTATTCAGCGCAATCTTCAAAGGACTTATATAAAAAGGAGAAAATGTATCATGAAAAGTCTGCGCAGTCCTGGTCGGCTACATCGCATTCACCCCAGTCAATCAAATTGACCACCTGCAAACGTTATGAAAACATGCCGAGTCTTCTGGTCTGTAGCTTCACCAAGCAGATGCCCTGAGTCAACCAACAGCCGACCAGCTTTCAAGACTTGCTGATAATCCTTCTGCCACAAAAACCTTGCGGTACATTTGGATATGTTTGTTATGAGCACCTGTCCAACATTGAGCACGCAGTGTTAATGGTTGGCTCACATTGGCATAGCAACAGTACTTCTTATTGCTTCTTTTTTCTAGAAACCACTTCTTGAAACCTTCAAAGGGGATTTCCAAGAAGAGGCACCAGCCATGCATTTACTCCAGCTGCGCCTTCAACTCCTTGCTCACAGGCTGCATTGCCTGGGGTTTTGCAATCTCGCTACCCAGCAACCTCAGGCTGACTGGGCCAGCCATGGCTGGCCACTTTCGCAGAAATGGAGGATAGAATACAGCGCATACCTGCAAAGAAACCTTCCATTCAAGTCAACAATGGACTCTTGGAACCTTTGTTCCTTTGGCTTTAAACGTACAAGGAGAAGTGCTACTTGACTTATGATGTTCCCCCAGCACGAGTCTGGTGCATTCGGAAGCCCATATCATCGTCGGAGTCGGGCTCTGGCTCCTGGACCCATGAGCATTGACCTCGCTATTTGTCTGGTCATTCTGTGCATCGTCACCTGTTCATTTTGTGCCAAAAACAGAGAGGTACGGAGAGGTACAACTTTTGGGGTGTCCCCTTTAGGGTGTCCTTCCGCTCGCCAAAGAGCCAATCGTCTTCAGCGGCCTGTGGACAACATGATTGCTGCAAGTCAACCCTTCTTGCAAGACACAATGTAGATAGTGTTACTACAACTTACGTACTTTAGGTGACATCGTTTATGTGATACATCATTGATTAAGGCAAAAGTAATACATATATATATATATAGCTCGACAAGACCTGTCCATTTATAGGCACCAGTGCTTTTGCCCGCCTGGCTGGCGCGCTTCTTTGCCAGCTTCTTGGCGGCAGCCGCCTGTTGCGCTTCAGCCTGGGCCGAATTGATTGAGTGGACCGAGCACCAAGATGTAATCAAGGTCACGAGTCACTGCTGTTGTAGGAAACGAGAGGTTGGCCATCTTGGGTCAAACCAGGCCATGTCCATGCGCATCATGTCAATGAATGTGACAAACAAGCTGATCGGATATATGAGATGGTTCCTATATATTAAACCAAACAATTCAGTTTTAACACTTTAAAGGTTGTCCTGCAAATATCCAAGACGTCATAAGTTACAACAAATCGAAAAAATATCTTTGGGATTTATGAATATGAACATCAAATTAAAAAAATAAAATCTTCGCTTAGCAGTTGTTCCTTTGCGGTGCCTCCTTTTTCTCTTTTTCCTCTTGGACCTGGAGTTTCTTCTGCAGGAACTTTTGAAGATACTCCTGCAAATCACCATATACACTGTTCACTCTGCATCAATGCCGCGTCATGGCCGTTTAACGTTCTGCCTACCAAAAAAATGTTTGGCCTTGAAATGATGGTTTTCTTGGACCCAGCCTCCGAGATCACGCCTTTATGCTCTGTCCATGATCTCGAGCAGTGCTTGCATTTTTCCTCACACAAGCAAGTGCACACGGTTGCGTGTGCTTTAAAGCAATGAAGCTGTTTCTTTTGTCCTGCTTAAACTGGTTCGGCTCAAATTTGCCGCAATCCTCAGGATGAAGCAGCCGTCAGAACTTGAGCACATCTTTTCCGAGCTGCATTAGACTGACAAGAAAACATGAATGGTTCATGCATCTTGGTCTCATCAGGATTTGGTTGCAGCTCATCCATCCTGAACAAGATGTCTGCATTGAAGCTTATTCTGGTTTTTGCACACAACAAGCCGCCTCAGCGCTTTCACCAAATGGAGCCAGGTTTCTTCGAGCCAGTATTCAGATTCATGTTACACACACAAATGACCAGCGGAAAGATTTTTTGACAAACGCACAATTCCAAGGAATGATCATCATCCAAGGAATTTCACACATTTTAGTTTGGAGTTCATGACTTGACAATTCAAAACACCCCCAATCTCTTTCCTCGTGCAATTTCAGTAAACTAGGTTTGATAGCAAGTTACAAATCCCACAATGACATGGAGATTTGATTTGTATGACCCGACATGGTTCTTGTATGTTTCCGAAATGTTCCATTATTGTTTTCTCGTGTGCATGCATGCAACCAGGTAACCATGCCAGGCCCCATCTAAATAAAGAAAAACTTTAGATCCAGGGCAATGACGTGGATGGACCTTTCCAACCAAAGGTCTATTTGCCAACATGTAATCGCATTCCAACCTTTTCAGTTTTCAAGCACAGCAAAGCCGAGGCTCTTTGACCACGACATGTTTGCAACGCAAAACACCATTTTTCGAGACAGATTGAGGAGTCTTCGTTGAATCGCGCAATTGCGGTCCATCCACATATTGATGTTGCAAGCACGTGTTGAGAAAATGTTCCACGACAGTAAGCTCGCCGATGACGAACCAAAAGCTAAAGAGCGTTTAGATGGTCAACGTGGTGTTCAGAACCTCAAAAGTTGGTTTCGGAAACTAAAGCGAGGGCTTCGGAAACTGTGGGTCAGAAACTCAAACGTGGGTTCGGAAACTGGGTTTCAGAAACTGGAAAGGTGGGTTTCGGCAACTCGCCAATTATGTTCGGCAATTGTGGTTCGTCAACTGGGAAGGTGGGTTTCGGCAACTGGGAACATAGGTCCCGGAAACTGGGAAACCAAGCGTAGCATGCGCAACGGACGTCATTATCCCCGGCCCACCCTCCCCCCCCACCCCCAATATCCATTGCAAAACCGATAAGGACAGTTGCTGAAACCGACAAAACCTGTTTCTGAAACCGACAAAGCCAGTTGCTGAAACCGACAAATCCAGTTTCTGAAACCGACAAAACCAGTTGCTGAAACCGACAAACCAGTTGCTGAACGCAGGGAGTTGCTGATCCGCAGTTGCTGAAACCGACAAAACCAGTTTCTGAAACCTAGTTGCTGAACGCACAGTAGTTGCTGAACATCACTTTATTCGCGTTTAGATGTAGAAAACTCCGGCGTAAGGTTGTTTTGAAACAGTAAAGCGAAGAAAATTGTGGGTGGTGGGAGGGAAAGAGAAGAACATATTGCAAAAAGGATGAATGAAAAGGATGCTTCCTGAAGGAGGGCAGCAAAGATGTCTTCCAGTCGATGTGCATGCAACGGTTTTTGCAATGAAATGGATTCAAGTCCTGCCCCAAAGATGTCTTCCAGTGGAGGCTCAAAGACGTTGTGCGCGTTTTTGGCAAAAAAAACATGCATGCATTCATGGAACCATGTTTTGTCATGCAAATTGTATCAGATTTACCGTAAAAGTCGTGGATTCAGGTCGAGTGTTGAAACACATGCAAACAAACACATTTATTCACATATAGACTTGGTTGATCTGTGTCTCTGTTCCACAGCAAACACAGGCGGAACATGTTGAAAAATATTGTAAAATTTTGGATGTTTGTCTTAGCAAAGGCTGGGAAAAAACTGTGCAAAAGATTGAAAATGCTCTCTTTGTCCCCCTCAAAACGTTATTGCACACGGTGCCGCCCATCGCCACACAAGTTGTGAACAGAAATACACGGTGAAACTAAGCAAAGCGAACCAGAAGAGACAACCACAAGTCCGGCAAATTGAAGTCCACGAAAAAATAACCGCCCTTGCAAACATTTCCTTCGGCTTTGTAGCATCCATGGAAGGGATGGTTTGTTCAAAAAGGCAAGTGCTTTGACGCATCATCTCTTCTCTCTCCTGTGGTCGGAACAACGAAAAGGATTTTTTGACGTGAGGCTCACGGTCAACCAGACAAACCAAATTTTCCAACAGAAACAGTCCAGTTCTCTGAAAACTTCATCGAAAACTTTGGATTCATCATGAAAACTGACTTCTTCAAAGAATCCTCGAACCTGAACAAAAAATGTATTTCTTGTGATCTCGATTTGATCTAAAATCTCGGTCCTTCTGCAAGTCTTGGTCAATGAAGGAGTTCCAGTGGTGCGAAAGAAGGAAAAGTGTTCCGCATTCAGAGTTCAAACCAAACCTTGTCAAAGAGATTGCGCAACCGATTTGTTTGCGGATGAGTTTGAAAACACGCACCACTCAACAATCTTGTCATTGTGCAACAGAAACACACTGGATTGAAATTTCAATCTGATCCTTTGAAATTTCAATCTGATCCTTGGCAAAAGGGGGCAAAAAAAATCAGCAAAGAAGCAGCAGCATCGGCCACGCTTGGTTTTGGAGCGTTTTGCGCCGCAGATGAGAACACATTTCAGCTGAACATCCATTGTCTTGCGCAGTCAGTCTTAGACCAGATTGCCGTACCTCTTCAAGTACCAACATTTTGAATGCGGAGTGCACGAATGTTTGCAGGTGGCTGTGGAAAACAGTGAAGCGCTCTAACGTGACAAGCGGGCACCAAGCCTCCACTGTGGTCTGCGTTATTGTGGGGAAGTGTAAGAAAAGGGCAAGACACCAACAAACACAAAAACAAAGCCCCCAAACCGACCAGCAGAAAACACCAGAATGGAGCTTGAAAGTGAGCTTGAATGTACATGCATGGGGTGAAACCAAGGTTGGGCAATGAATGAGAGCAAAAAGGGGCCATAAGGTTGGCCATCCAAAAATGCGGTACAACTGTTTGCTGGCATGTTGACACTGGGTCATTGAGCCTGCAGCGGCAGGCTGTCATCAAGCACCAATGAGCTGCGTTCTCCGTGCTCACTGTGGATGGCCTGCACTTAAGACAATGTGTGTTTATGGATGTCCTGTGACAACTTTGGGAGCAATGTGTGTTGTAAACTCACGCAGCAGGAAAATAACTTGATGGATGGCACGAATGCGGTGTGAGAGAGATCAACCTGGGTGAGAATTTTGCAGGTGCTGGGAAGGCCCTCCGTGGCGGGACCGGTTTTTTCTTGGGTTTTTGGACCCCAAACTGGTGTCCTTTTTTTGCACGAGTCGAGGCGCTGTGTGTGCAGGTTGTGCACAAGTCACCTTAAGCTAGTAAAGGAGAGAGAAACGAACCGAGCAACAAACCGAGAAGAACCAAACAACACCCAAAAACCCAAAACGAACCCAACCAGAAAAGCAGGCAAGGTTCGTACCTCAAGATGGCTGAGACAGCCGAAGAAGCGGTGAGACAGTGTGAAACAAGGGGCAATGAATTCAGCCTTGGTTGGCACTCAGTACGTCACCTTCCTGTTCTTTCATGTTTTCTTTCATGTTTTCTCCGCGGGGAGATAGTAAGACTTGCACCCAGAGCTCGAATTCATGTGGGTGTTGATGCAAAAACAGGCAGGTTACGCGGCCGTATACCCTGTTTTCAAAGGGTTTGGCGAAGCCTTCACAGAATACAGGTGCGGATGCGGCCAGCAGGACGGCCAGTCAAACGAAAGCGAGTTGCGCACCATTCACAACCTTCCAGCAGCACGAACACATCGCATGTAAGGGGAGCAATCTCGGCTCAAGGAAAACAACTGTGTCACCAATCGAGGACTGCAAATCTTCGAGAGCTTGAAACAGTGGAGCCATACCAACATTGTACTGATCGGATGAAATAGTCCTATGACGTTCTGCAGGTCTACCACCCCCCCCAGGAGGGAGGCGGGAGTGTTCACTATCTAAAGGCAACGATGACTCGAGAACAGCTTTGCCACCAGAGTCATAGAAAGGCAATGAAAGACAGTGAAGGACACTGAGAGACAAGTATGTCGAAAGGCTCTCGAGGAGCCACGTAGGACTGTTGAGAGGCGCACAGGCTTGTGTTGCGGTCTAGCAGGCGCCTTGCGGTTGTGCTGCCGTGTTCCATCTTGAGAATGCATGAGCGTGCAAGCCCCGTGAGCTAAGTGAAACAGGGTGAGACGCCGTTATCCTAGGTCTAATCACTGTACAGGTCTGTACTATCTGTACTCATCCAGGACCACCACTCGGGTGGTGGCCTAGGCACTGCCTAGCCGCTCAGTATTGCAGTACACCCACGATATAGCTGGCTCATGTTGCTGTCAGGACCAGCACATGGGTGCAAGTCTAGGCATAGGGCACAGTTTGACTAAGCTACTGTAAGTCCTAGCGCACTGCTTCAGAGAAATCATCCGCCCACTTATCTTTGGCGTTTGGCGGCAGGAAGCGAAGCCACTTAGGCTTGTCCAATTGCTCACATTGTTCAAAGGCGTTGGCCCAAGCATATGTCCCCCTCCAGGTCGTTCTTTTCCCAGTTTTGTGGAATGCGCGAAGTTGCGTGCAGCCAGCAAATGCTCGCCGAGCAATGTACAGCAAGGTTGGTGGGGTGCGTACCTCTCGTAGTGAGGTGCACTTGAAAAATGTTTCTTGTTCTATCCTTCGCAAATTGCAAGAGAGGCTAAGCTGTCGCACATGCGAGCAGTGCGCAAAGGTGGATCCCAGTATCTCGATGACCTCCGTTCGGGAAAGGTCGACTATCTGAAGCTGTTGACAGCGTTCGCAGGCTGCAGGCCCAACCCAATTGAAGTCTGGTGGCAGGAAGAGCGAGACGATTCCTGCCTCCAAGAAACAACACTCAGGCAAGCATCTTCTCGGGTTAGTGGGGTCATACTCCGTTAGTTCCAGGTTGAGGTGGCGCAAAGCAGTGCACTTCTCGAAGGCCGTGGCCGGAACTGTGCTTGCGGGGCTAGCTGGTTGGTTATGTGACTAGTAGCCCCTATTTGCGTTAGAGAGCAGCATGCCTCGAAGACCTTGATTCCGAACTGCTTGCACCCCGGGGCCAAAACAGTTCGGAGTAACTAGCTTTTGCGAAACGCTCCATTTTGCAGGCAGACGACTGTGCTCGGCAAGTGGACCACCTGCAGTCGCTGACAACTCCGCCAAGCAGCCCCACCCACAA